AGGTGAAGATGGAGGTGGGGATGGAGATGGGGATGGAGTTGAGAATGGAGATGGGGATGGAGATGAGGATAGGGAAATGGATGGAGGTAAGGATGGAGATGAGGATGGAGATGGGGATGGAGATGGGGATGGAGTTGAGAATGGAGATGGGGATGGAGATGAGGATAGGGAAATGGATGGAGGTAAGGATGGAGATGAAGATGGAGATGAAGATGGAGATGAGGATGGGGAAGTGGATGGAGGTAAGGATGGAGATGAAGATGGAGATGGGGATGGAGATGGGGATGGAGTTGAGAATGGAGATGGGGATGGAGATGAGGATGGAGACAAGGATGGAGACAAAGATGGAGGTGAGGATGGAGATGGAGAAGGGAATAGAAAGGAGATGAGAAAGAGGTGAGAGTGGGGGTGAGAATGGAGGTGAGGATGGAGATGGAGTTGAGGCTGGAGATGAGGCTGGAGATGAGCCTGGAGATGGGGATGGAGATGAGGATAGGGAAATGGATGGAGGTGAGGATGGAGATGGGGATGGAGATGGGGATGGAGGTGAGAATGGAGATGGGGATGGAGATGAGGATAGGGAAATGGATGGAGGTAAGGATGGAGATGAGGATGGAGATGGGGATGGAGATGAGGATAGGGAAATGGATGGAGGTAAGGATGGAGATGAAGATGGAGATGAAGATGGAGATGAAGATGGAGATGAGGATGGGGAAATGGATGGAGGTAAGGATGGAGATGAAGATGGAGATGAGGATGGAGATGAGGATGGAGATGAGGATGGAGATGAGGATGGGGAAGTGGATGGAGGTAAAGATGGAGATGAGGAAGACTGAGAGTAAAGAAAGGCTGTAGATAATGAGCCTGAGAAACAGTGGGTTGTGGGGGAAAGAATGCTGTCCGTAGTCAAGGGAAGGGAAGGAGAAGAGGAAGGGTGAGAGGACCATGTGATGTGGGGGGAGCAGCCGTAAGCAGCCGGGGACGCCCGGGTGTAGACAGCTCCCTGACTGCCTGCTCTCAGAGCCCTCCACTGGCAGACAGGAGGCGAGATGCAGAGTGACGTTTGCCTAGGACACAGCAACTGAGGAAGATGCTGATGGGGAGAGTGTGGGAAGCCTGGGCTGTCCACGCTGCTGTGAGGAGCCCTGCTGTGTCATCGTCCATACGACTGGAATCTGTTATTGTCTCATGAGCTTGATTAAGCAGACATATTGCTAACACCTGCTCAGAAATGTAACGAGGGAACACAGCCCTCAGTCAGGGTCTGCGTGGGTGGTGTGCATGACTCAGCTACAGATCTCCAGAACGGGGACGTGTGTGTGCGTGGAAGTGTGTGCGTATGTGTGTGGGGCGGGGGCCACCCGTGGGGTGCAAAGAACCCTGGCCAGGATTTGGAAGGCCCAGGTGCCCGTCCAGCCTCTGCCATTGACCTCTAGTGTAACCTGAGGCAAATCTCTCCTTTTCTCTAACCTCAGTTTGCTCACCTGCAAAACAGGAGGTCTCGACCAGCGCTCTCCAAAAGAAAGACAATGCAAGCCACATATTTAATTGTCAGTTTTCTAATGACCACGTTAAGAAGAGTTTTTAAAAAGGTGAAATTATTTTAATACTATGTTTATTAAATCCATTATATATCCCAAATGTTATTTCCAATGTAAGCAATATAAAAATATTAATGATATGTTTAACATTCCTTTTAAAATTTGTCTTCAAAATTCAGTGTGTATTTTACACTTCCAGCACGTATGAACTTGAAAGAGCCACATTTCAAGGGCTTGGCTGCCACATGGTGAGTGGTTACTGTATTGGACAGTGGCAGTCCAGGGCGTTTTCTGGTGTCCTCACTAAATTGAATGCCCAAAGGCATTCTCCCGACTAGTAGCAAGGAGCTCAAAGAAAGACTGTTAGTGAGTGATAGTGCTAATAAATGCAGCTAACAGCTGGGAGGGTGCATTTTCAAAACGCTTTCAGGTCCTACTTCTTTGCATCCTCCCAGGTACCGCATAATTCCATTCTGCAGATAAGGAAACTGAGATTCAGAGAGGTTAAGTAACTCACCCAAGGTCACACAGCCGGAAAGTGGTACAGCTGGTCTTTGAACCCTGGGTGGTCTGATGTAGAGTCCACACTCTTAACCATTGTCCTATACTACCTCCCTTACAATGGTGATGCAAATAATATTAATTAAAATAGCTGAAGTGCATTGCAGGCTTACTATGTGCCAGGCGTCTTGTGAGTATCATCTGCTTTACTCCTCAAAGCAATTCTATAAGGAAGATTCCAGGTGTCTAATTCCTGTTTGCTCGATGAAAGGACGAAAGAATGAGTGAGTGATTTTAAAGATGCCCCCTGCCCAGGTCTCAACCTCTCGGATCTTTAGAGGGTATAATTATTCCTGCACATACGCCACCATGAGTGATGCCAGAGTTTTACGCTCTAATTGGCTTGGTCCCTTAATCTTCGGGACAATCGAGTTAAGTCGAGCCACCCACAGGAGCAGGTCCCGAAAGATCTGGATTACAAGGCATCCATGGAAGCTGAGACGTGCCAGGTCAATGAGTGCTCCCTGCGGCTAAAATGTGTATTTAGGGCTAAAGTACCAAGTGATGGGAGCTCCTTTCTTCTTTCCAAAGCTTGAGATGGCACAGCTTTGTGTCAGAGTTTGGACTCTGGAGCGAGGGGGTTTGGGTTCAAATCCTGACTCTGTAAACCCAGATAAGCTACTCCACCTCTTAACCTTCCCCGTCTGTAAAATGGGAGGAAGATAACATGCCTCATAGACTAATGGTGAGGATTAAGTGAATTAACCCGCATTAAGGACAGCTCCTGGCTCCTAAATCTTAGCCGTTGCTCGTCTTGCCGTGGGCTCCAGGTTTTCAGTCGAGTTCTAGAAAACTTAGATTGCAGAATCTGCGAATTCTGGGTAATTGAAGTGTTCTGGTGTGCTTTTCCCGTCTCGGAATTTCTACCCCACTTGCCATCTGCTTCCTACAATCTTACACTTAATTACAATTCTCCATCTATTGTTCTCCTGTTGTTTCCTGTTTGTTCTGCTTCCCTTGCCGACGGCACGTGGTGGCTGCCTGCGTGAATGAATGGCTCGTACCTGCCTCCTTTCGTAGACCTTAAAATAGAGTCGCCTGGCGTCTGTCGCCCCTGCCAGCCTGTGAGCTTCTCCGCACTCCATCACGGGCGCCCTCGGCGAGCACCTGGCGCCATGCCCGGCACCTAGTAGGTGTCAGGAAGCGTTGTCGAATTTAATTAAACGTAACTGGAGTGAAAACCCCTTGCGGGAAGGGAAGGCCCACGCCTCCTCCTTTCTCTGCTTGCCCCGCTGCACGTGACCCGAGGCCCGATAAGCCAGAACTGACAGCCTTTCCCCCGTGGAGTTCTAAGATTCCGGCTCCTGTCCTCCTGATTACAAGGGGGTTGGGGAAATAATAGGAGAAATCATAAGAATAGTGAATTCTTACCGTGTCTATTAGCTGGTTCATCCTCCAAATATGTCTGCCGGGTATTATTCCATTTAACAAATTGGGGACGGACGCTCCCAGTTTTGGTGACTTGCCCAAGGACATGGAGGTGGTGGTGACCTAGCCGGGACTGGCACCCAGGAGTGCCCACTGGCTCCACGTGTGCCCTTCCAATACCCCACAGTGCCTGGGGGCACCGGCTTCAGCAAACAGGCCAGTGGCGGCCAGTGAGGAGAGCAGAGGGGTGAGCTGGCGGGGGGCGGGACCAACTTCCGGAAAGAAAGGGAGGAGGGCAGACTCCCTGCTCCGCATCTCTGTCAAGGTCATTACTTCTCGCTTCACTGCCCTCGCCATAGTCTAAGCTACCAGTCTCTCTGGCCCAAATTCACTTCCTGTATTTCCGGTCTCTTCAAAACGCAACTCAGGGGCTGGCCCCGTACCAAGTGGTTAAGTTCGCATGCTCTGCTTCAGCAGCCCGGATTCATTGGTGGGGATCCTGGGTGCAGACCTATGCACTGCTCATCAAGCCACGCTGTGGTGGCGTCCCACACAGAAGAACTAGAATGACCTACAACTAGGATATACAACTGTGTACTGAGGCTTTGAGGAGAAAAAAAAAGAGGAAGATTGGCAACAGATGTTAGCTCAGGGCCAATCTTCAAAAAGAAAAAGTAAATGCAACTCAGAGCATGTCACTGCTCTTGCTTAAAACCTTCCATGGCTCTCCACTGCTCTCAGGACACAGAAGAAGCACTCACAACCAGTAGCGTTCTGGTAAACCCGCTCTGGGGGCCAGAGCAGGGGAAGGAAACAGACAAAGAAGGCCTAGTTTGTGGCAGTGGCTGATTTCTGTGGTGTAAAAACACCTACTGTGGCCGGTTTCCAGCAAGCAGCGGTTTAACAACTGGTTCACAAAATTCCTGAAAATGTCACAATCGGCTCTCATGAGCTGGTAGGAACCGGTGCCCGCACCCCACTGTGACTGGTAACCCGCCGTCAGCCGCCTTGTTCTGTGCCCTGCGCATCTCCCCAGCCCCACTGGGCACCACGTTCCCCCTGGATCCTTGTACTCCCACTGCAATGGCCTGCCTCCCATCCCCTCTGCTCTGAGCTGACCTGTCGCTGGGCCTTTGCACATGCTGTTCCCTCTACCTGCCATGCTTGTCTTCTGCCCACTGTCACTTCCTCAGGTCACAGCAGAGTCACATCCTCAGCCTTGGGCAGGGGCCCCTTTACACTCCATTGTACCTCCTTGTATCTGATGCACTTTTCATGTTTAGCTATGTGACCTTCTGATTCATGCTCCTCTTCCCCACCAGCTGTAAGCCCCGTGAGGCAGGGCCCTCATCTGTGTGCCCAGCAGCGGCTTCATTCTCACTGGAGCTCAGGCCACTGGCACCCCTTGGAGTTGGGCAGCCTTTGTTCCCCCAGCACCCAGCATGGGACCTGGCCCGTCTTAGGTAATCAGTGAATCTTCCCGAATCTTCCAGTTAAGTCTTTGTCTTCTTGTGCTTCCCTCTTGGGTAGCTCCTCCTACCTCCATCGAAGTGGTGGCCGCTGACTCGCCAGCCCCCTTCAGCCGCTACCAAGCCCAGAACTTCACGCTGGTCTGCATCGTGTCTGGAGGGAAACCAGCGCCCATGGTGAGTACCCCTGCAGTGCCCAGTCCATCCTCGGTCCCTGCCGGACCACCCTCCTTCATGGCGTGTCCAGCTGCAGGTGTCACTGCGATGCCCACTCTGCAGAATGAAGGAGGGAGGGTGTGGGCTGCGTAAGTCCACTCTGCCCCGTCCGCCTCCGTCTGACCCCGGGCACTCCTCTGACCTGCCCAGGCGTCCACGTGTCTCTCTCCCTCCCCGTCTGCCAGCGCTGGAACCCCCACTTCCCTGGACCCTGGAATCCCAGAGCTGCGCAGTGGGAGTGGCTGTCAGGGGAGCTGGCAGCAGGCACACCCCAACCCCATTATTGAGCAGGGTGGAGACAAATGAGGCCCAGAGACGGGGAGGGAGGTGGCCAGAGTCACCCGCAGTTTCTTGACAGAGTGGAACCCCTGCTCTGGCCGCCTCCTACTCAGAGGCCTGGGAGTCCAGCTCCTGAGTTACCGTCGCGGTCCTTCAAGGGGCAGGGGCTGGAAGGGTGAGCGTCTGTCTGGAGAGCTGCTTCTAGCACCGGCCTGGCCACGCGCACTGAATGATCCCGAGAAGGAAGATCCCCCTCTGCGTCTCAGCTTCTGGAAGGAGGCCCGGGGGGCGGGCAGTGTTAAAGTTTTACGGCTTCCGTAGAGGCAGCAAGGACCTGTTTGGTCTGAATGAAATATAGGGAGGCCCTATGTCTAAAAACATCTGAAAGGGAAGGAGGGCCAGTTGCCCTTATTGATCCTGGAAGTGCCTCTGTGGAACCCGTAAGGTTCCTGGAACCCACACTGAGAACCCATGGGATACATGCTCCCAAGGTCCCTTCCAATTTTGACTTGTGTGACACTTTGGGTCTTGACCCTGTGAGTGTCATACGTCACTAGGATTAGCGAGGGGTGGGGCTGGAGCCATGGGCAAGTAAGGGTAGAGTTCATGGTGGGGAGGCCAGGGCTCCCCTCATCCCAAACTCTGATTGTCACTTGCAGGGACCAGTGGGGTGACCTTGGGCCCCAGGCCAGACAGACCCAGCTGCCCAGGACAGGGCAGTAAACAGGTGTGGAGAGACCCAAGGCAGGGCAGTAGGCAGGGGCACATGGGCACAGGTGGGCAGTAGGCAGGGGCACACGGGCACAGGTGGGCAGTAGGCAGGGGCACATGGGCACAGGTGGCAGCAGGCAGGGGCACACGGGCACAGGTGGGCAGTAGGCGGGGGCACACAGGCAGCAGGCAGGGGCACACAGGCAGCAGGCAGGTGCACATGGGCACAGGTGGGCAGCAGGCAGGGGCACACAGATAGGCAGTGGGCGGAGACACATGAGCACAGGTGGGCAGCAGGCAGGGGCACACAGGTGGGCAGTAGGCAGGGGCACACAGGCATAGGTGGGCAGCAGGCAGGTACACACAGATAGGCAGTGGGAGGGGACACATGGGCACAGGTGGGCATCAGGCAGGGGCACATAGATAGGCAGTGGGTGGGGACACACGGGCACAGGTGGGCAGCAGGCAGAGGTGCAGAGACAAGCCTTTGGTGAGGCCTCTCTCCCACCACCCACCCGTAGTCCGGAGGGGACAGATAAAAAGGCAGCTTCAAAGCTGGCAATTGGTGAGAGCGGGACGTGGCCCCGTTTTCCCCTCTGGAGCCAATAAAGAGGTCTAGCCTCCTTAAAATCAGACAAGCTGGTCTTTTTACCCAAAGAGAAACTCCTTTTCTGGGGGGCACAAAGAAAGGCTCCTCACAGCCTTGGGGCTGCGGGAAGACCACCCCCCAGCCTGCCTGCTCCTGCCATTTAAGACGTGGTAACAAAATATTGCATTTATGTATAAAAGATCTTCATCTCCCCACATTCCAGGCATCTTACGTTTGCCTGGGACGTCAGAACTTGAAAGAATTCTTTGATATAAATTACAAACCTGCTTTTGAAGCACTTTTCAAAAAAAAAAAGAAAGAAAAAACCCAAAGCAGGCTATTATGTGTGTGAGAGATTTTTCGTTGGAGCTATAAACTCTGACAGATTCTCCCGTCCCACATTTCATTTACCACCCCCCACCTCTCCCACCTCCCTTGCCTGCAGCTCCCACCCCCGCCCCTGCCTGTCGCCCATCCTCCTCTCCCTCCCCCCGCCTGCACCAGCATCCCTGAGAGCTTCTTCCTGCCATCCTTTCTCCCTGTCTCCCATGGATTTATTTATCTGATTTATTAAAAAATGCACCCAATTCCCACAGGCCTCTGGCCACACGTAGTAAAATAAAAAGACAGCAAATTAAATTAAATGCCGCCTCTCAAAACTTGAATTCCCCATTAGCAGACAGAGCGAGAGGATGTTTGCTTTCGCCTCCTGCCCACACCTAGCTCCCTCCCGCACACGCACCTGTTTTCTGCCTTCCATCTCCCAACCCTCCAAAACGCACACACACAGACATCCTCGCCTCTTCTTTCTTCTCCCGACATCTCATTTCATCTCCATGCACAGCCACCTTCTCTCTCCTCCACTTGATCTCCCCAGGTGGGCATGGACCACCCCTTGGAGCCCAGGTGGCTGCCATGCTGTGTCCAGGGCCCTGTTTCTGCACATTGTTTCATTTAAGCATCCAAGGCCCCCACGAAGTAGGTGATCTTATTTGCCTTTACAAGTAAGGAAACTGAGGCCCCCAAAGGCTCACCAGCTGGTAAGTGATGGAGATGGACTCAGCCTCTGCCACCAGGGCCAGTTCCTCTGAGAACCCGCTGGGAGGTCCAGGTTGTTGGCACAAAATCTTTTCTCACACCCTCCTTGCAATTTCAGGTTTATTTCAAACGCGATGGGGAACCGATCGACGCAGTGCCCTTGTCGGAACCTCCGGCTGCAAGCGCTGGCCCCCTCCAGGACAGCAGGCCCTTCCGCAGCCTCCTGCACCGCGACCTGGATGACACCAAGATGCAGAGGTCACTGTCCCTGCTGGACACTGAGAACCGGGGTGGGCGTCCCTACACGGAACGTCCCCACCGCGGCCTGACCCCGGATCCCAGCATCCTCCTCCAGCCGACCACCGAGAACATCCCAGAGACGGTGGTGAGCCGCGAGTTCCCCCGCTGGGTCCACAGCACTGAGCCCGTCTACTTCCTGCGCCACAGCCACACCCCGGGCAGCGACGGCACCGTGGAGGTGCGCGCCCGCCTCACCTGGACGCTCAACCCGCAGATCGACAACGAGGCCCTCTTCAGCTGTGAGGTCAAGCACCCAGCGCTGTCGATGCCCATGCAGGCCGAGGTCACGCTGGGTAAGGCTTGGTGGGTGCCATCCTGCCAGCCTCCTGCAGAGCCGGGGGGATGGGGCTTGGAATAGGGTCCCTGGGCTGCCTGCCCCCACGGAGATGGGGAGGAGACGGAGGAGCAAACAGGAGTCAAGGTCAGGCACAGAGGGCAGAGTCAGGGTCCATGGGGGGTTTACTGAGCTGGATGGGAGAACGTGGGAGGTTATGGGGGAGGGAGGGTCAGGGGAGTTTGCTGGAAAGGGTCAGGAACGCAAGGGATCAGGGAAATTCGCTCAGTCAGGATCAAGAATCTGGAAAGTCAGAGAAGCTTGCTGGATGATTGTTAGAAACAGGGGAGGTTTTTAAAATTGAAGATGCAACGTGGAAGCACAGGGAGGATGCTGGGCAAGTGAGGAGCGCGTAAGAGTTGAGACTTTTCAGGAAGGGTGGCTGAGTCAGGGCCCAGGAGGCTGGGAGGGTTTTCTCGGTCACATTTGGGAACAGAGGAAGCGACAAGGAGGATTTCTGGGTTGAATAAGTGACCCGTGAGCTCAGGGACAGCTGCCAGGTAAGCCACGAACAGGGCAGGCTGGGGGCTTGCTGGATCAGGGTCAGGAATGGTGAAGTTCATGGGAACATTTGCCAGGCTGAGGTCGAGAACACACAGGACATGGGAGGACGTCACTCTGGCCTACACTTTTAGGTACAGTGGAAGTGCTGCCATCTGTGGGGATGTGGGAGGTGAGCACAACCAGGAAACTGGACGCCCAGGGCCAGCTCAGCCTGGGAACCTGGTCCCCACGTGTGACCTGCTTCCTCTTCCCACAGAGCACCGACTCGGGCATCCCCAAGATCTGACTCCTCCCCCTTAGACATCTCCTCCCAGCTGGGTCGAGGCAGGGAGGGGACACGTGGAATCTTCTCTACCAGAAATGTCAGATCCTTTACTGGGGGACTTGGCAGGGAAGTGGACACACGGACCGTGTACTGACCCTCTCTGCCTGCAACTCTCTGGGCCTTCATCTGCAGCATCCAGAGGCTCGTTCTGAAGCCCAAGATGCCTGTCCTTGTCCTCTGAGTCACCTCCAGTGGTGAGGGGCCGCACGGAGCCACCCACAGCCCCTAACCCAGGCCCCTCATGACCAAGGTCAGAGAGCAATGACTGACACGGGTTGGGACCACAGCCTGTATCAGGGGGTCCAAAGGAACTCTGTTTTTAACTGGTCCACCAGAAGTCCCGGTACCTCCTCTGCCCCGAATACCGAGTGAAAGGATTTCATGTACATAAAGCACCTACTATGTGCCGGGAATGTTTGTGAGGCTCGTCTCCTTTGTTCTTCACAAGTACAAGTTTACCACGCAGCCCCATTTTACAGATGAGCAAAACTGAGGCTCAGGTTGATGGAGTCCCTTTCTCTGAGTCACCAACTTGTAAGCAGCAGAGCTGGGATTTCAAGCCAGGTCTGTTGGTGCCTTCTCCACTTTCCTCAATGCCAACCACTGAACTCAGCAGCCCCGGGACCAGGCACCCTTACTGGCTATGGGGTTAGTTCCCTGAAGACCCATTAAAATGGCCCTGGGATTCCCACAGGCCACCTGCTCACACAGAAAATAATAAGGGCTAAGATTTAGCGCATACCTACTATGCACCATGTGCCATGGACTACCCAATTGGTGATCCTCCTGGTAACTCAATGAGGTAGGCACTATTATTGTGCCATATCACAGGTGAGGCAACTCAGGCCCAGGGAGGTTAAGTTGCCCCAGGTAAGTGGGAGAGGACTCAAAAGCAGCCGTGAGGCCCCAGAGTCTGGCTCTCAGCCTCTCCCTGTGCCTCCTCACAGCATCCATTTGTCACAGGCGCCCACCCCCGAGTACCATTTGCCCATCGCTCCATAGAGGGCTCAGGAGCACCCCCTGAGGCCAGGCCCTGTGCAAGGTGCTGGGACCTTCTCCACCCAGAGCCTGCCCAGACCCCTCTCACAGCCCTCCCACGGGCCCCATTTAGAGTAACTCTCCTTAGGCCACCCGGCTGGATCTGACCCCAGAGCCCACATTCCTAACCACTGTGCTCTCCAGCCTGCCTGGCGGGGCTGGGATGAGGACGCACTGAGCCAGTGGGTGTGACCACTGGAGAGTGGTGTGAGCAGAGGGCTCTGGCCATGGGATGAGACAGTGGGATGGACGAGATGGTCCCAGGACACAGCAGCCAATCATCTGATGATGACTTTGAGGGTCAGGACAACGAGGGTCAGGGGGCATGTCCCCTTTGCTCCCGCTGTTCCCTCTGCCGGGGACGCCCTCCCCTGCTCAGATGCCCCCCCCACCAAAGAAGACAGATGCCTGGGGGTCCTAGAACTCAGCTCATTCCTCCCGTTGATCAAGCCAGCACCCTTGGAGTCACCCACTTGTCTCACATCCCACGTTCAAGCCATCCTCTAGCCCTGGCAGCTCAACCTCAGCGTGTCCCCTTCTGCCACTCCTCGTGGCTTCCTCTCCGATCATCCAGTTGGAGCACTGTCAGTTCACCCCTGGATTGTCACGCAGCCCCCAAACTGGTCTTTCTGCGTCCACTCGTGCCCCCTTCTATGCTCACCCTGACTGATCCATTTAATGTGGAAATCAGCTCATGACACACACACCCACCCACCCCAAACCCTCCAACGGTAGACAGATCGATAGAACAGAACAGAGGCCAGAAATAGACCCACATAGAGAGTCCATTGACTTTTGACAAAAGTCCCAGGCTGTTCAACGGGGAAAGAGAAGTCTTTTTAACAAACGGCCCTGGAACAACTGGATGAGCTTAAGGGAAAAATGAACCGGATCCTGACTTCATACCCACGAGAATTAATTTGAGATGAATCATAGACCTGAATGTAAAACCGGCATCGTAAAACTTAAGAATCTGTCTTTGTGACACTGAGGCGGGCGAGGATTTCTTAAAGAGGTCACAAAAAGCACCAAGTGAATAATTGAAAATTGGTAAATTAGACTTAATCAAAATTCACATCTTCTGCTCATAAGAAGGCACCTTCAAGAAAATGAAAAGGCAAAGCAGAGACTGAGAGAAAATATTCTCCATACAGATATATGACTAAGGATTGGTATCCAGAATATGTAAATAACTACAGATCAATAATGACAAGATAACTCAATTTTTTCTTTAAAAAAAGAAGATATACAAATGGCCAATAAGCATATAAAAAGGTGTATAACATCGTTAGTCGTTAGGGAAATGAAGACTAAAATCTCAATGAGATAATATCTCACAACCGCTAAAATGACTAAAATCTAAAAGACTGATAATACCAAATGCTGGCAAGGATGCAGAACAATCAGAACCTTCATGCATTGCTGGTGGGAGTATAAAACAATACTACAGCTTTGGAAAGCTAGCATTTCTTACAAAGATAAAAATACCCCTACTTGATGACCCAGGAATTTCATATTTACCCAAGAGAAATGAAAATATATGTCCACAAAGATTTGCACATGAATGTTCATAGCAGCTTTGTTCATAACAACAATAACAAAACCATAAGTAAGCAAATGTCCATAATTGGGAAAATGGATGAAGAAATTTGTGCTGCATTCATACAATGAACTACTTCTCATCAAGACAAATGAATGAACCCCTGAGATGCACAGCGACATGGGTAGAGCTCAAAAACACGATGCTGAGCGAAGGCAGCCAGACAGCCAAGAGTACATTCTGCATGAGTCCATTTATATGAACTTCTAGAACATAAAACCAATCTGGGGATAGAAATCAGAGGGTGTTTACCTATGGAGAGTGGGGATCGACTGGAATGAGCCATAAAGGAAACTTCTGGAGGGATGAGAATGTTCTAGAGTTTGACTGGGATAGTGGTTACACTGGTGTTCACATTTATTAAGATTTGTCAAATTGTGTTCTTGAGAGCAGTGCATTTCCCTGCCTGTGAATTTTATCACAACTTAAAAATCTATGAAGAATAAAAACAAAACAGAACAATTCACTAGGCTGCCATCACATTTAAGACCCATCCCAGTGGGGCTCATCTCTCTCTCTCCTCTGCTCCGTCTGCTCCCTCTTCCTCCAATACGCCCAGCTCAGGCTCACCTCTGTGACTTTGCACTGGCTTCCCCTTCTGCCTAGAATAATCTTACCCCAGCTGTTCTCAATCCCCCATCATTTAGGTCTCTGCTCAAATCTTCTACTCAGAGGGTCCTTCCTTGGCCACCCTCTCTCAAACAGCCTCATCCTCCTTGTGCCATCAGCTGCTTACCTTGCTTTGCTTTCTGGCATCACATTTATCTCCACCTGGAAGTATATCATATATTTCCTTGTTGCCTGGATCCCCCACTAGAATTTAGGTTGTGTATGGGCAGTCTTTACTTGCCTTGTTCACTTGGTACAGGGCTCAGTACAAGTCCTAACATATTACTTAATAGATACTTAATAATTTTCTGGGTTGTTACGAAGAATAAATAAGGCAGTGCATAAAAAGTGCTTAGCGTAGTGACAGACAGAGTAAGTACTCAGTAAATATCAGCTACTGATATTATTTGTCACTGTTTTCCCACCGTTTCCCTGCATAGTGACTGACACAGATTAGGCGTACAATAAAGAACTAGATGGTAGAGCAGATGAATGAATGGATGGGTGAGTGGATGGGTAGGTTTATGGGTAGGTGTGTAGATGGATGCTGGATGGATGGATGGGTGGATGGATGGATGCAGGGATGGATGGATGGATGAGTGATAAGGTGGAGTGGTAGATGAATGGATAGAGTGAATGCTTGGATGGATGGATGAGTGGGTGGATAAGTGAGTGGTTGTCTTAGCGAACACCCGGAATTCCTGGGGGGAAACCTAGAGAAGCTTTCCCAAGATATTTCACAAGGCCATTGGTGCAGCAAATGCTCAGGTTAGGTAAAGAGGGCATCTTATATAATCAGGATGTTTTGTATTTCCCTGAGCAGATGCACACCACTTTATATTTCACAATTTTCTTCTCATATCTTGAGAAATCTTCTCATATTTCTCCCCCATTGTCATTTTCAGAGCAACTCCTCATAGAGGGTAGTAGCTTATTGTCCCCATTACAGGTGAGAAAACTGAGGCCCAACAAACTGAATTGACTCATCCAAGTCCTGCAGCCCGAGCAAGAAGGCTAGGCCTGCATCCCAGGTCTCTGAACTCCTGCTCTTTCTCTATGTCCGGGAGTCAAGAGGCTGACATCCCAGGGGCCGGGAACATTCCCTTCCAGCGTCCTCAGTGGTCTGTTCCAGGAGCAGGCAAGGGGGCAGCAGGATTTGCCTGCCAGCAGCTGCCCATGGCCTTCACCATGGTGGTGGGAGTGCGAGGGTGATGGCAGCTGGCCTGGCCTCTGGGAGCAATCTCGCCACAGCAGTGAGGGCAGGAGGCAGAGGGGCCGTCTGCTGCAGAGGCAGCTGCCAGGACAGAGCTCAGAGACACGGGGGCAGAACAGCCCCTTCACCTGCCACCCGCTGCCCCTCAGGGTCAGCGCCACACAGGAGCCGCAGGAACAGGGAGCTGGGGCGGCAGGGGCGGGTCCGGCTCCCGGGTGGGAGAGGGCATCCGGCAAGAGCCCCCGTCTCCTTCACCCCCGGGCTGCGAGCCTCCCTTGGAAGAACCGTGTGCCATCCAGTCCTGTTCCTGCCACTCCCTTGCTGTGCGACCTCGGGCCAGCCACTGCCCTCCTGAGGGCCAGCTTTATGTCCTGCAAACTGAGTTTCATGGTAACCTGCCTCGTAAACACCAGGAAGGGTGTCACAGTCCTAAAATGGGGTCCAGCACATGTTGTCACCTGATAAACATCAAGTCCTCTCCCCTCCGGGCCTGAAGAGCGTAGGCGAGGCCTTTAGAAAACAAGGCAGCGAGGGATCTGACCTGCAAGGGGAAGGTGCCTGCCCTGTGGTCCAGCGGTCCAGCTTCTCTGCACAGGGGTGCCTTCCTGCGCCCTCTGCTGGCTGCAGCGGGACAATGCTGTCCCAGCCGGACAAAGAACGAGGACCTGGCTGCCCCGCGCAGGGCTTCCCACCTGCAAAGCGACCTCCGCAGCTCTTGAGAGTCCACAAAGAAGGCGAGAAAGTTACTTGGTCCCTTCCAAGCGTTGGTCTCCTTAGGGGAACAATCCCAAAGGGTTGGAAAGTTAAATGAGATCATGCATAAGGCGCTTAACATAGTGTCCCGCTCTTCCCATGCACCGGACAAATGGTAGCCCCCAAACTGACCGTCTCTGATGTCCCTAACAACCCCGTGTGGTAGGTAGGCAAGGGCTGCCGTCATTGTTCCCACTGTGATTGGGGTGAAGCCAGGTGAAGCGATGCTTCCAGGGGCACAGGCTGGACCAGGCCTTGCTCTGGGTCTCCCAGGGCAGCGCTCCCTTCTCGAGCAGAGTGGATGCACCACCAGAAGCCGCCTCGCCTTCCCTGCCGTTGCCTCCCCTCGATGCAGGCCCAGCTCTCCCCACCGAAGCTTCTCCCAGCCCCGGGTGGCACTTCAGATGACTTGCTCGCAGTTTAATTAATGGTCCTTTGGTTTCACTCTCAGAGAATGAAATTGGCAGTGCCTGGGAGACCACCCACGTCTGCCGGCTGCTCTGATTTCTGCTCTGAGAGCTCTGAGCGGGAAGGAGAGGTTCTGGGAGCAGGCAAGGGCAGATGGGTGTGGTCCCAGCCCAGCCCAGGCGGGGCCTGGGGACAAAGCTTTTCTCCTGCTGCTACCCCTGGAATGGCCACAGAGAGGGCACAGAGCTTGGCCCTCCCATCAAAACCCTAATGCCTTCCTCCAGCCCAGGAAGCCCTATAGATCTGCCCCCAGCCCCACCCCCATGAACTCCCTGACCTCAGGGCCATGCCCTGGCTGTCCCCTCCGCCTGGAACCCTCCTCATGAGCTTCACACCCGCCCTGGGTCAACTCTGCAGGAGCCCATCCTCCCTGACAGTTTCTGGTCTGGGCACTTGTTTGCATATGGGGTGTCTCCCTGACGGAAGTGCAGGCTCCGTGTTGGCGGGCACATGGTCTTGTTCACACTGCGTTCCCAGACCTGCCCCAAAGCCTGGCGCGTGGTTGGCTCAGTGATTGCTTGTTGAACGAATGAATGAATGATTCTAGGAAAAGATCCCTGGCCTGGAAGTCAGGGAACACGGGAAATTCACCTTGTGGGTGACCTTGGATGAGCCCCTCTGTGACCCATGGACCTTGGCTCTCCAATCTGAAACCTGAGGGGAGGGACTCAGTGACCCGGATGGCCCTTCCATCGCTGATACTCTCTTGTCCACAGGACAGCAATGCCCTTGGGCGTCTTGTCTCCCAAGCTCAGAGATATAAAGGGGCTTGAAGGAAGTGATGTAAGGACGTGAGGAAGAGAGGCAGGATGAGAGATGTGGTCCCCCCACCCACCTCCAGACTAGAGATTCCAGACAGTCCCCCGTGGGCAGGTTAACCTGGAAGGAGCCCGGAGCAGGAATGAGGAGACCCACATTTCGGTCCCAGCTCCTCTTCACTGTGCGACCTTTGGCAAGTCACTTCCCCTCTCTGGGCCTCAGTTACCCCAGCTGTACAATGGGGATGTTGACGGCAGAGCCCACACAAGGATTTGGTGCAGGTGGGAGTTTGGGATGCCTCCAGCCATCGCGGCTGCCTGAGGATGCTGCTCCCCGTTCCCAGCTGAGTCGTCTCCCGGGTGGAACCTCCGCTGGGCATCCCTGACTCCACTGTCCACTGGGCTCCTCTGATCTGACCCCTGTCCACTGGCTGGTGCTTATCTTTCACCCCCACTGAGAGTGAACCCCACGAGGGCAGGGATCCCGTATCGCTGAATCCCCGGGTCCCAGACAGGGTCCCCCAGGTCCCACTGCAGGGGCTCAGGGACTGTGTGTGAACGAACGCAGGCATGAATGAGTGACATCCTCTGAGCTCCCAGCTCAGCAGCAGCTGATCCCAAGGATGCTGACTGTTGGGCTGGGACTTTCCTCTCCATTGCCCCTCCCCCTGCTTTCCTCCTTCAGCCCTCCCCCCCACACACCCCTACACCTCTCCGACCTCGCCTTCCTCTCCCTGCAGTTGCCCCCAAAGGACCCAAAATCACAATGAGGCCCAGCAGAGCCCGCGTCGGGGACACGGTGAGGATTCTGGTCCACGGATTTCAGGTCAGCCTCTCTCTGAGCATCTGGGAGGGGGTGGGAGGTGTTCGGGGCACCAAGTGGGCACCAGTGTCCCTGGCAGCATGCCCCAAGGCCCTTCCCTTGACCTCCAGCACAGCCAGCGGGCCTCAGTCTCCTGATCTGTGTGATGGCTCCCATCGGGAATGGCAAGAGGTGCATGCTTTGCTCTCCCATGAAGACCTCGGGGCAGTCATAGCTCACGGGCCTTGACACCCTTTCCAGCCCCGGAGTCCTCCTCTTGCTGGGGTTCCGGGCAGCCACACCCAAGCTGTCAGATGAGAATGTGTGGCCAGCCCCGGTCAGGCCAGCCTCTGCCCCCTCCTGCTCCGGCACAGTGGCTCCTCCCGTGACCCGACTCTGCCCTGCTCCGGCCAACAGAACGAAGTCTTTCCGGAGCCCATGTTCACGTGGACGCGGGTCGGGAGCCGCCTCCTGGACGGCAGCACCGAGTTCGACGGGAAGGAGCTGGTGCTGGAGCGGGTTCCCGCCGAGCTCAACGGCTCCATGTACCGCTGCACTGCCCAGAACCCACTGGGCTCCACCGACACGCACACCCGGCTCATCGTGTTCGGTACGCTGCGCCCGACCGTGGGGAGGACTACTGGGGCGGGGCCTGACTGGAGCCACCCCCAGGAGGAGGGAGCACCTGGGGCCCTCTCCCCTCAATTTGCCCTGAGAGGGTGCCTCACAAGGAGGCATGTAGTTCATCAGTTAAAACCAGAGAGTTCTGGGTTCGAATCCCAAGTCCACCAGGTGGCAGCCAGGCAACGTCGGGCAAACTACTTACCCTCCCTCAGTCTCCCTGTCTGTAAAATGGGCTGATACCCCTCAGCCCACAGAGGCTGCGTGGCTGCACGGAGAGCGCACGTGACACCACATAGCAGGTGCTGGGTGAAGGGGAGCTCCTTTGCTGAGTTCTGGATGCCTTCCATTCTCTAGTTCTCTTTCCGTTCTTTCCAACAGAAAACCCAAATATTCCAAGAGGAACGGAGGACTCCAATGGTAAGTCTCCACTTGCTTAGAAGCGAGTGATGTTCAAGGCTTCAGGAAGCTCCGGCCCCCCCCACCCCATGCCTCAGGCAGGGAGGTGTCCTCTTATGGACACAGTCTGTCCTTAGTTGGGCAGAGGCTGGTCAGAGGTGGTCAAGAGTGGGCACGGAGGCAATAAAGGGGGTCTCACCATCCCAAAGCGGCAGAGAGGGACTTCCAGGGACCAAGCATGCCTCCCCTACTATCCACAGCAACTCCAGCTCTCTTAGCTCAGAGAGCTCAGCTGTCCTGGCCCCAAGCGGATGTGTCCAGCACTGACCATGGGGTTGTGTTCTGGGGCCCTGGACCATTCTGCAAGACAGCTGGGAGCACAGACAGATGCCTCGGCTGGGACCCTTTGTATTGCCCTCCCCGGGCTGCCACCCAACCTGAGCACCACCCCATGGGACCCAGACACTGTTCCCCAACTCCCCCGCCCTCCCCGCCCCACGCTAAGCCAAGCTCGCGGTTCACAATGGAGGGCCCCCCTCTGAGTCCCCACTGGAGGGTCCTGATGGCCACCAGAAAGCCAAACCGCTGCCTGGCAGGCCTAGGACAGGGAGGGGATCGTGCCCAGTTAGGTGGGACAGGTGGGAAGGCAGGGACCTGAACTCAGTGCACCCTGACGCTCAAGTCCAGACTCCTTGGGGGGCCGTTTGAAGGACTGCCCTGTGCCCGGGCTCCGCGCCCCGCCACACCCTCCAGAAAGTGCCGGGAGTGGGCAGGCAGGCAGGCCCTGACCCTGCACCCTGCCGCCTGGCACAGGTTCCGCTTCTGGCCCTGCCGGCGTCCGGCTCACCTTGGTGCTCACCCTGACAGTGGTCCTGGAGCTGACGTGAAGGCTCGGCCTCGCTCCTGCCACTCCGCCTGGCACTGACGTCTCTGCCATTGGTTTTCATTTCTTTTCTAAACTATTTCCAGTCTTGTTCTTAGTCTCTTTCTGTCCGTGTCTTGGCTTCTTCAGTCGGTTTAATTAAAACAAACAGAACGATTTTCCCCACCTCGGTCTGTGGCTCTGGATTCTTCATTTACAGCAGCGAGAGGGTGCCCCCGGCATCCAGCACTGGGACAGGCACTGAGTGGGGGAGGCGAGGAAGGAAATCGAAGACACGTCCCTCCCCTGGGGGCGTCCACGTCCTGACCCCCAGCACCTGTGACTATGTTACCTTACGAGGCAAAAGGGGCTTTGCTGTTGTGATGAATTTAAATTGGGAGGATCCTGCTGGATTATCCGGGTGGGCCCAATGTAGTCACAAGCATCCTTATAAGAGAGAGGCGAGAAGACAGTAGAAGATGTGATGACAGGTGCAAGAGTCAATGCAAGGAAGGGGCCACGAGCTGAGGAACGTGGGCTGCCTCCAGAAGCTGAAAAGGCAAGGACACGGATTCTCCCTGGGAGCCGCCGGAAGGAACCGGCCCGGCCAACGCTTTTAGCGCCATGTGACTAATTTCAGCCTTCTGACCTCCAGGACCCGAAGGAAATACATTTGCCTTGTTCTAAGCCATTAAGTTGGGGGTCATTTGTTACAGCAGCCAACAGAAACACATACAATCACACAAGATGTTTGCAAAGGCCAGACCTAGGGGTGGCACAGATCACCTCTGCCCGCATCCCGTTGGCCAGAAGTCATCACACGGCTCCCCCCCAGATGCAAGGGAGGCTGAGAAATAGTCTTCCTGGGTACCCTGGATGGGGAGATGGGGCGGTCAGCACAGAACATCGTGTCTGCCACGGAGAAGCAGGGGTGCGTTCAATGACTCATTTCCGTGTAACTCTGTCCAGGCCGGGGCATCAAGAGGAGGGAGCATTGGGAGGACTCATCACCAGGATGGCCCTCACCCACCTCAGCTGCATTGAGTTCCCTGGGCTGCTTCCCCCTTCCCAGCCAGGAGAGATAGGACCTCACTGCGCCCTCTGTCCGTCTCCCAGGTCATGCAGACATCCCGGCGGATCGGGACCCATCCGTACAAACTCCAGGCTTCAGACACACCAGGCTGGGGATTACGCAGGGGCTCTGTCCCCTTGCTGTCATCATAGCCCTTCTGACTCCCTAACTCTTCCCGGGAATTCCAGGCTCAGATGCCCAACTTCCCACTGTCATCCTCTTCTCCATTGGACATCTCATACTCATTTACAGCTTCACGTGGCTGAAACCCAACTTTGATTTGCCCTTCCAAAGCACGCTCCTTCCCCTCCCCGGGAAACGGTGCCGCCCCACCCAGCTGACCCGGTCAAACATTTAGCTGCTCTCTTTCCTTCATCTCTGCACTTCCAATCAATAGCTTGTTGACTTAACTCTCAAAACTCGTCCTGAATTCACTCACTTCTCTCCTTCTGCATGGCCACCACGCTCCACTCACAAAGCCACCCTTCCCTGGAAAACTGGCTCGGCGTCCCGGCTGGTCTGCAGACTGGCCTCGTCCCCTACCCTCCACAGTCTGGTCTCCCCACAGCAGCCAACGGGGTCCTTGTAAACATTGATCATTCCGTGGGGCCCCCAACTCTGAACCCTCCAATGGTTTCACATCCGCTATAGACTGAATTCTGTGTCCCCCCAAATTCAGATATTGAAACATCACCCCCCATGTGACGGCCTTCGGAGGAGGGGCCTTTGGGAGGTGATTAGGTCATGAGGGGGGAGCCCTCATGAAAGGGATTAGCGCCCTTATAAAAGAGACCGTCGAGAGCCATCTTGCTCCTTCCACTACGTGAGGACACAGCGAGAAGCTGGCAATTTGCAACCTGGAAGAGAGCCCTCGCCAGAGCCTGGCCACGCTGGCACCTGGTCCTGGACTTCCAGGCTCCAGACTGTAAAAAATAAATTTCCATTGTTTGTAAGCTCCCTCGTCTGTGGTATTTTGTTACAGCAGGCCAAACGGGCTAAGACACCATCACACAGGAAATAAATCCAGACCCTGTAGGAGTCGTACACGATGCAGCCCCACCTGCTGACCTTGTCTCATCAAACACACTCTCTCTCTCCCTCTTTGTGTCATTCACACTCATCTTTCCTCAAACTCTTCAAGCCCATTCCTGCCTCAGGGCCTTTGCTCTGCCTGTTCCCTCTGCCCAGAATTCTCCTCTCCTTGACCTTTGCAGGGCCCACTCCTCTTTGACACTGAGATTGCAGCTTAACTCCCACCTCCTCAGCGGGCCCAGCCAGACCACCGTGCCCCGCTCCATCACCCCATCCTTAATCCCGTTCTCTGCATGGCACACTTCACTGGCTGACGCTTTTCCCATTTGCTTATTTATTTACTAACGGTCTTCCCCCCGCCCTTGGCCAGAATGTCAGCCTATCGGTGTGGGGGTCACACCTGTGTCATCCACTTCTGTGTCCTCAGTGCGTAGACCTGAGCCTGGCACGTGGCAGGTGCTCAGCAACTATTCACTGAGTGAGTGAATGAATGAATGAATGAATGAGTACCTCCCAAGGACCTACTATGGGCCAGGCCCCATGCTAGGCACCCAGGCTATAGCGATGAGAAGGACGTGCTCGCCACCCGGAAGGCTCTCACCATCCAGTGAGGGGAGAACATGGACCCAACCGACCAGCGTAGCCCACTCTGTGAGTCTTCAGCAGACACGCCTGCCAGGGCTCTGGAGCGTGCAGGCGGGAGAGAGTCATTCTGCTGGGGGTGGGCGGGTGGGTCGGAGGAAACCAAAGAGGACAGATGACAAGTGAGCAGAACCTGGAAAGAAAAGTAGAGGTTGACCAGGCAGAGAATGGAGAACATTCTGGACAGAGAGAAGAGCATGGGCAAAGCCTTACAGGTGGGCCAGTTTTGTTGCTATTTGGGGAAAAGACAAGTAGTTGTTTCAGTGCTTCCAAAAGCACATTAATTCACCCAACAAATGATTATTAACCACTCACCGTGGGTCAGGCAGCGCGAGGAACGCTGCAGATTAAATAGGACACTGTCACATGGCTCTTGTATCCGTTATCTCTTGCCATAACGATGCTGTGTAACAAACATCCCCAAAACATAGCAACTTAAGCCAGCAGCCATCTCTTGTTTCTCACTGGGCTGGGGCCAGCTGCTGATCTGGACCAGGTGTGGCTGATATGGGCCCCCTCTTGCATCTGCAGTCAGCTAGGGGGTCAGCTGGGGGCTGGCTGGTCTTGGGTGGCCCTCACTGGGGTGACTCTGCTCTGTCCCATGTGGTCCCCCATCCTCCAGCAGCCCAGCCTGGTGAAGGTGGAGGAGCAAGAGAGAGAGAGAGAGCTGAAGCAGACGAGGCTTCTCGTGGCCTCGGGGAACCTGCAATGTGTCACCTCCCCTACATGTGGTTGGTCAATGCAAGTCACAAGGCCAACCCAGATGCAAGGACAATTCCACCTTTGGATGGGAAAAGCAACAAAGTCACATTGCGTAATGTGTGGACACGGGGCAGGAGGCACAATCAGGGCCACTTTTGCAATCTACAATAGCCCTACATTCTGAGCTTGATGTTCTAGAATCCTGGTTGTCCATCCACCACATCACATACTCTTATTTAAATGGGGAAGCCCAAATGACTCCTCCTAACAATTTCTGTTTTCAAAATATAACAAATAAATGATTCATTCATTCACTAAATGATTGTGTGCTTGCATTTTGCAAGTTGATAGAACCCTGCAACAGATGATCTTCAAGTGTTGAAGGCTCTCAGGTGTTCCCCAGTATAAACATCCAGATCTGATCAGCAGGCCACAACCACACAGTGCCACCTGGCTCCTCAACCAACTTCCTTCTTCCCCAAAGCCATGTTCTGTCTCACGTGAGCCACCTGCCCCCTCTGCTGCCTGCCAGCAATCCTCCCTAAGCCTCTGTCACACAATGCCTTTGCCTGTTTTCTGGAAAGAATAAAAAAAGGTTTGTTCCTTTTCTTTGCCGTAATAGTGGGAGGCCCATGTGGGCATGAAATTGGAATTGCTTTGCCCTATTAAGAGCACGGTCGTTGGGCTCCACTGACCCCTGAAGTGCATTAATATCTCAGCAGCAAGTGGATCAACCGTGTAAAGTGACAGGGGACGCGCCGGAGAGAGCCAACTGGGGGACTGTCTGTTTTCGGCTCTGAATTTGAGGATTTTGAGCCCTGGGCAGGCTGGAAAGGGTAGTTTGTTCAACCTGGGATTGACGGAAGGGGAGAGGGGATGAGGAAGACAGAGCACAGCCTGAGAGTGGACACAGATCCTTCATTCCTTCGTCCGCTTCCTCCACCACTCATCTGACAGCTCTCAGCATCCTCCGCCTGGCCCCACGCCAGCTGACGAGGCACGAAGACAAGCGGGGCAGCCCTGCCATTGAGGAGCCCTTAGTCCACCCGGAAATACAGACTCGAGGGGAAAGAGAACTGAAACCCCACATAATGAGTGTTGGAATAAAAATGTAAGGGAGCGCAACAGGGTCACAGAGGGTGGAGGCCGTCCTGCCAGGGAGGTCAGGGGAGGCCTCCAGGAGGCGGTGACGTTACAGCCAGGCCTTGAAGGAGAAGAGGCGGCATCAGAGTGAGATCTGCCGCCTTCACCCCAGGTCAGCCCAGAAGCCTCAACTGTCTCTCAGGGACCAACCCCGATGCCACAGGTCATTGGGAGGGAGAAAGCCCGAGTTCCGGTCCAGTTTGTATTGTCGTCACCTGAGGCACAACCTGTCTTAACAAAGGCAGGCCGGCCCGACACACAGCTGCTGGTCCCGGCCTGACCCCCGAGTTCCTGTACCCTGAGCTCCACCTCTGTCGTTGCTCGTCCCCACCGTGAGCAAGTCCTGGTCCCCGCCCAGCATCCGCAGCGTCCCCCAGGGTGCCCTGGCTTTGCAGAGGCCCCCCAGGCAGGGCGGCTGCCCTTTGGGCCACTGTGTCCCCAAGGTTCACTGGTCCCTGTGCCCAGCTGACCAGGTCACAGCGAGGACCCCATGCTGGGCTTCAAGGGGGCCACCCCCATCCCCAGGGTATGGGCAGGGCCTGGGTACCCCTCTCCTGGTACATCAAGCTCTCAGAGTCGGCTCATCAATGAGAAGGGCCCACAGCTGCCACTTAGCGGTCTTGTGTGTGGCGGCTCTGAGATGAAACCACGCTTTGTCAGACCTGGGCTTTTGAGCTGGGAACACCTAGGGTCGTCCCCATCACTCAGGTCACAGGAAGTGGGGGAGGACATGACACTCACCCAGTGCTGCCCCTTCCAGGAGGCAGACAGCACCAGCTCTGCTGGTGGTCCCTTTGCCCCCACGCCTAAGAGACAAGTGAAGCCTGGGGTCACCATCTTCTCCTCAGCCTTGGGGTGCCACACCTCCAGGGCCCCACAGTACCCCCGAGAGGCGTTAAGTGGCTCCTTTGCCCCCACACGCCTCCCCAGACTGGGGACGTCCATCCTTCCTGCTTCTGTCCTGGCCGGGCCATTGGCCCAGCAGGAGGATCAGGGGACCCACCAACCCCACAGATGACTGTGATGCCAACAGCCATCTCTGCCCGGGGACAAGGCCACCTTGTGAGGAGATGTCACAGTGACCTGAGGTTCCTACATGAGGTCTGGGTGCCCCACCAGGACACGGACCCAGGGTTTTCAGAGTCACTGTCCTGACCCCAGAAAGGCTGTAGGTTTTATGCAACACACAAGTGTACACAGAGCTGGGAAAACAAAACCAAAAATAGGGGCCCCTGGGCTCTGCCCCTGCAGGGGAGCGACAGCCCCAGAGGGAGCCCCACACCTGGACGTGCACCTGGACCTTTCCAGGGTGGAGAGGGGGGTGGGTGGGCCAGTGTCGGGGCTGCTCCCCCAGGAGGCCTGACTGTGGACGAAAATGAAAGGGGAGGGAGACGAAGGGAGGGGGGAGTCTGGAAAGGGCAGGGGGGGAAACTGAGGAAGGGACTGGCTAGGCGGGTGGGAAGGGAGGGAGAGGCAAAGGGGCCGGCTGGTCCAGGAAGGCGGTTTGGGGCGCTGGGAGTGAGGCTCCCCAGGATCAGACATCTGGAAAGACAGGAGGCCCTGGGCAGGATTTGGAGATGGAGGATGGAGGGGACAGAGGAGGGGGTCGCTGGGGGTCGGGTTCTGGAAGAGAGCTCTCCAGTCCAGTCGGGCTCCTGTGAAACAGAAAGAGACCAAGATCAGGACTGAATGAGGAGGAGAGAGTTGAAGAAGCAAAGAGTAGACAGAAATGAGACCAGACAGAGAGGAGAGAGAGACAGAGACACAGAGACAGACAAAGACAGAGAGACAGAGATAGAGACAGAGAGACTCAGAGACACAGAGACACAGAGAGGGGGAGGAGAGAGAAAGAGACAGAGAGGTACACAGATAGAAACAGATAGAAACAGAGACAGGAGAGAGATGAGAGACAGACAGAGAGAGAAACCAGTCTGGACACAGAGACGAAGAGAGTGAGACACAGAGAGACAGTAAGGAGATGAACAGAGACAGAGGGACTGAGATGGAGCAGGAGAGACCAGCCCTGCAGCCCAGCTGGGGCGGTGGAGCCACGGACCAGATTTGGGGTGGGGGAAGTAGTTTTCCACAAAGCACTTAACGTGTTAAGTCAGCGATTCTGCCCTTGGCCTCCTCCAGGGAACGACAGCCCTGAGTGATGGGCGGAAGGAAATAGATGTGCAAAATACACGCATTTTTTCAAATGGGCCCAATTGTCAGCGACAGGCCCGAATGTCGGCACACGCAGCACAGCCCGGGCTGCCAGCTGCACCAGCCTTGGGGCTGAGCTTCCCGGCAGCTGCCTGGGGGGCCCCCTTCAGCCCTTCTCCCCTGTCCCTCTCCCCGTCCTCCCGTCCAGGCAGCTGCCGTCCCCAGTCCTCCCGCCTCTAATTCCACTGGCCCTGGAGTTCCTGGGGCCACCGGCAAACAGCGGTTG